TCTCCACAGACACTCGATATGAACCGTGATGACGACTCTATGTAAGCACTCACATCAAAATCATCAGTGCCTTGGAGTCGAGCGCTTGCTTTGGTGACGTCGTAATCAAGATACCCATCAGTGTAATTGAGTATGGACATCAACGGCTTACGTAGTACCTGAGACAGGAAGGACTTGAGCCCAGGGAGTTGCTGACAGTACTCGGACATTACCCGACTGCAGACCGGCTCTATGCTAAACATCTCCTTTATGGATGAGCACTGCTTGATATGGTGCATCAGTAAATGGCATATCATGTTCAATAACTGAGCGTGGTCCTCCGGAAATACGCAATGACCATAAACGACTGATACAAGGTCGTATGTCAAATGGGCGGAGTCGAGTCCTTCTTGTCCAGCCCATTTGAGGACCTCGGCAACAGCCTCAGGGTGGGAACGAAGGTTTCCAAGGAATCGACTGTAGCTCTCAAGGAGGTTAGGGGAGGAGATACGCTGCGAGGCATTAAGGAATGTAATGGAGTCTGCTTCTCTACTAGTGGCCATCCAGTCGGCAGGAGGGGAGCGGTGACTGAGGACTTTAGTGAGTGAGTAGCTAAGAGCGTGTTCTATCCAAAGTGACTCCAGCAACTGATCGCAGGAGATGTTCAACTGGTTGTACTGCCGTCGGGTCGACTGCCATCTCTCTGAGATGACCTCTTGGTCTTGTCGGAGCTCCCGTATGACGGGCCACCAGGAGTAGGACGAGGAGGAGGGAGAGAGAGAGTTGGAGCAGCTCTGAGTAGTGTCCGTCATTTTCTGAAGTCCAGCTAGCCCCACCCATCTAAGCCCCGCCCATCATTATTACTGAAGCTAAGTGATGCAAATGCATAGATTGAAACTGCTTCTGTTAATGGTGTTCATCAACTTAAAAATTTAACTGTAAAAAGGTAGAGGTAAGAAAATCTATTTTAAAATAGATCTAAATTTTATTTTTAAGGAGGAACTGTGTCTAACAAATGGTTTTAACAGCTCAAGAGCGAAATATGAATATCATAACATTGCAATGTACAAAGGTATAATTAATGTATTATTTATTTTAGTAAGCAAATGTGGTTGTAGGTTCTCTTTTCTAGAATTCTCAAGCAACAGGTTTTACTACATGTAGACCTATGTAATTGTATCAAAGTAACACCCCTTGCAGCACTCAGATATTTTGAATTAGATGCAGTGCTCTTACTGAGGGAAAGGGTGTCTAGACAATATCCAGTAATACTATAGTCTTGTCATCCCACCCCTCACTTTGGGGCTGGGCGACGAGACTAGTAATGCTATAATATGAAATGTGCATTATATTCCTTTCAGACTGATTTACACAACCTGAAATACGATTTCTCAGTTAGTTATACTATACACAAGCATTGTTAATTCTTTCCTGTTAGCAATGTTATATTGTAGCAGCAGTGGGAGGATATGTCATGGAATACTTGGAGAGTCATACACACCCTCCACCAGTATGAGAGAAATACTGAGCTACATTTATGGACTGTTAATGTGTCCTGATACTGATACACCCCTTGACAGGTATTAATGCAATGATTATTCGTCATAAATCAATTACTATAGTACACTTGCTGGAGAATATGGATACCAGAGTGGTAGAGAAAAGGGTTATCCTGATTACTTTCAAGCAGCAAGTGAATATTTTTTTAGAAAAGCCACAGAAAAATAAATGTCAAATTGCATGCAAGTAAGCATTTCATAATTTACACAAATTTAGCTTTACTTAT